GATATGTCAAGGATATTTTAGCTAATTTGTCTCTATTATTATTAATGGACATTCTTGGTTTATGCAGGCACGTGACGTTTTTATGTGGTAGAGGAGGAGTTTACGCCATTGGAGCTGTAGTGGCCAATTTGATTGGCGACCATCAAAGGCGTGACTTGTATTTGAACCTTTACCTTGAGGTATAAATATCGATCTAAGTCTCCAATTCATCTTAATATCTCTTATCGTTTTTTTTTATTGAGTACAAACGATTGGGAGAGGGAGTTTTACACAAATATTCATTGGGTGTATGGATGGAGGTGGAAGAGCTCAACCAACTGAACTATACCCTACTGGCACATCTGTCGTATTTTTAGTACAACTTCTATTACCTATCTATTTATGGATTTTATAATATATAATAATGCTATTTGCCAACTTGTATTAGAGAGGAGGTCAACAATTTGGTCAATGAATATTGTACTGATAGAATCTCTCATAATATCTTCGAGTATATTCTTACCAACAATATCTATCTTGGAATATCTTTGCTTCTTTTTTTTTTTCTCCTTTCTCTCTGGCCCGTTGGAAATATCAGGTCACCTGTTGACATGAGCTTACATTTCTGCCCCAGCTTACCACCTTGGTTTGATATTTATGCGGTTCCTACAATGACAGTTTTTCTTATGATAAATATATGTAGGCGTATATTTCTTCAAAATTGAAGTTCCCGACTAAAAGTCTTTGCCTCTATGCGAAGGTTTCAATATATTAATACTTGAAATGATGTTCGTATCAAGTTTTAAAATCTATACATTCTACAAAGTCAAAAGATGTTGCTTGTACGGAAAATTAAACCAACTGTCTGTGCTAATACAAGCAACTTTCTATGGAAGCTTATCCGCACCCTGACCTGTGTTTTAATAAAAACACAGGTGAGTTTATGTGTTTGTCTGTTAATTATAATTAGTGTCTGTGCCGGGGCAAACTCTTCCTGTTTTTGGATCAGCTCCTTCTCCATCCTTGAGATGGAGTGGATTGTTTTCCCCTCTTCCTGTAGATCAAAGTTTTGAATTTTTTTTCCCGGGACACAACGAGTGACAAAATAAGTAATGCTACAATATGGTTGAACGTAGTGGGCAAAACTGCTCTCGTTAGGATCAGTTTGCAAGATGTCAGGGACTTAAGTTACCAACTAATGTAGTTAGCACCTCCCTCAAAATTATCTTTACTTTAAAACTTGTATGGTTGATAATGGCCAGTCAGTTGGGTTGGACTTGGATGGTTCAATGTATCTGCTCTAAATTTTGTTTTGATAGAACCTTTAAAGCTGGAAGATTAGGTGCCGGTTATATAATACTTATTGGGTTGATCATGTGTAGGTAGCACAAGAGAAGGCCCTCTCAGTTGGACCAGAGGAAGGTGGTTTTGGAATGTCATATGATCTTCTATATGGGAGAGCTGGTTTTTTATGGGCAGCTTTGTTCATAAACAAGTATCTTGGACAAGAGAAGGTGCCAAGTGATCTTCTAATGCCTGTGGTGGATGCTGTGTTGGCTGGAGGTAGGGCAGGTGCATCTGATAACCCTTCCTGCCCACTCATGTACAGGTGGCATGGGACAAGGTATTTAGGGGCAGCCAATGGCCTGGCTGGAATTTTGCACGTCCTACTTCACTTCCCCCTTTCTAAAGAGGATGCAGAGGATGTGAAGGCAACTCTCAGATATATGATGGCTACTAGGTTCCCTCATAGTGGAAACTACCCTTCAAGTGAAGGGAACCCCAGAGACAAGTTTGTGTATTGGTCTCATGGTGCAGCTGGCATGGCCATAACCCTGTGCAAGGCATCACAGGTTGGTTGCCTCTCCTGCACAAATTTACTTTTCCTAATGCAATAATGCTAGAGGGATTACATTTTCTAATCATGATATAATTAATCACATAAAGTGACCGTTGGTAGTTTAATTATAATACTGAGTGAATGTGGTCAGAAGATGTGATCCCTTTAACATTTTCCTTTAGCAAGGCTTCGAAGTATGGAGGTCCATTCGTTATGCCCTAAATTGTGTACAATGCGTTGAGAATTTATGTTATGGTGCTTGGCCTTTTCTTCTGAATCCAAAATCCTCGAAGTTTGCTAGCACAAAATGGTCCATGTATGTGTGTATTTATTGTCTGTCTGTCTATCTACTAATCTAGACGAATTAATGGTTGCTTGTCTCTTTTCTTCTTTAGGTGTTTCCAGGAGACAGGGAATTTCGCGATGCTGCGATAGAAGCAGGAGAAGTTGTGTGGAAGAATGGCTTGCTGAAGAAGGTAGGACTTGCTTGGCTGGGAATGCCTATGCCTTCCTTTCTCTCTACCGTCTGACCAGAGAAACCATATATGAAGGGAGAGCAAAGGCATTCGCAAGCTTCTTGTATCACAATGGTAGAGAACTTGTGACTGTGGGGGACACTCATGGGGCTGAACATGCCTATTCCCTTTTTCAAGGACTTGCCGGAACAGCTTGCCTCTGGTTTGATCTGCACGTGCCCGAAAACGCCAGGTTCCCAGGTTATGAACTGTAGGCAATTGAGGAAGCTTTATATGCGAATTAAATCTTCTTATCATGAGATTAAGTGGAAAAATGTTAGTATATGATCGTATCCTAACATGTATATATATTTTAGTGTGTACTTAAGTGAGCGGTTGTAATCTTAAATTCCATAATATATAAAGTGGAAAAATGAGATTGTTGGTCCCAAACACACAAGGTTTGATTTTCCCTTGTGTCTTGAAGTCAACCAGCAGAAATGTATTGGTTATGAATGGGTTTGTTTGTATGATGAAATTAGAATACTTTGGTAGCTGGATAGGGTTAAATAAAGCCCAAATTATTGAAAAGGTCATGATGCGAAGCAAATTTTATTTTAATAGTTGTTTGCAATTGCTTGTTATGTGCAAGCGTTGAAGGATCATGCCTCCACCAACTTAATATATGTTTTTATCCAGAATTACTCCCAAATGAGTCGTAAATAACAATTCTCATAACAAAAAACAAAATTTTGAACCTAATGAATCCGATGAAGAGCTATTAAAGAAAAAGGTGAGAACGAAAATCGAAAATCAAACATCTCAATGATTTGAGCTCCCCACGACAACCATCTCCACAATCTTGATAGGAAAAATCAGTATTGATCACAAGTAATTAGTGAAATAAACTCACAGTAAATGACCAACAAAACTATATATGATAACACCCATTCTAAGTGCTTGAAGTTCAATGAGCGTCTATCTCCTAGGACTCAACTCCCATTTGCTTTCAAATTCCCAACAAATCTTAGATTTGGTGTGCAAGAATACACAAGAATATTATCTCTCTTTTTGGTATTGCATCAGTCTTAATCAGTGGTTAATTTGACAGGAAATGTCATTCATATCACCATTGAAAAAGATATTGCATTCTTTCTTCCTTGATAGGGATGTATGATTAGATGCACCTCCCTCATATACTGGTAACAGAAAAAGAGGGTTTCCACATCTCTGCATGCACATATATAGCTGGCTGCTGTGCATTATTTAGACAGCTTCTGCTAGAAAACAAAAAACAAAATAAAATAAAACATAGGACTTCAAAGTTAAAACGCCAAAAACACTTGGGGTGTAGCAAGCAAGATTAGATCCAAATGATGAGCAATCAAGATTAATTATGCGATGAGAGGGCCTGGAGATGGCATGTTGTTGATATGGAGTGTGGGCCAAAGTTGTCGAATAGCGAGAGGTTAGAGATGGCTGTACGCACAGGTGTTTGACGTTGGAGAGAAGACAGGTTTTCGACCACTGGCTCAATAACCAACTTACAATTTGGACCACTAGCTCAATAACGGGGCAAGATGGAAGGGAATTATTATAATTTTTTTGTATATGAAATTGTTAAGACTTTGAAGCATGTTTATTTCGTCCACAACATGTTTGCCGTTGCTTACACCGTATGGCAATCACTATTGCGAGTGCTGTAAAGTGCTAATTCAGCTGATCAGTCTCCTATCGAAATCGAATTTCTATTTCTGAATATGGGGCACATTTTTAAACGTGTTTCCCAATGAAAGAGAAAACCAAAACTTCTAAGTTTGCCTTTTTAATTAGGTATGGCAAGAGCTTTCACAATTCTTCTTCTTTATATATTTGGGTTGCTTTTTGTTAGTTTCTTCTTTGAGTGTGGACTTATGCATTGAATTGCATGAATCTTTTAAGCAAAAGAATCATTGCACGTGGTTTTGAGCTTAGGCTCTAATAAATTGTAACCATTCATTTCTTAGGTCAAAATTGAAAGATTATCTTCGTAAAAATTCACTTAAATCGGGAAGCATTATTTAGTTATCAACGGTAACCAAATAAATACATAAAAACAACATTTTTCAATAAATAATGAAAATATTCACGATAATAATCATAGTGTTATAAATATATGGAAGGGTTATTTACTCAAATGATCCTTAAACTTATACCCAAGTTGCATTTTGGTCCCTCAACTAAATTATTGGTTCAAATAGTCTACCAACTCTTTATTAATCGAGCCCAGGTAATTAAAAATAACTCTTTAATTACCTATGGTCCAAGTAATTAAATCCATAAATTACCTCTAGTCTAGGTAGTTATACCCTCTAGCCCAGCTAATTGAACTCATATAATATCTTGGTATGGATCTTTAAACTCAACTGAGATAAAAATCCATACAAAATTTCTTTGGAAAAAAAAAACACTATTACATGGAAGACATGTACATATGTATATAAATATGAACCCCCAGAAAAAACTGCTTAAGAAAACTCAAGAAAAAAACACTTACCTGTAAGGCATGTACATATATACCTGTATGTCAGGTACATAATTTTATGTGGGTGCTTGTCTGATCGATTGGTATAATATGTGAGTCTTTACTTTTTATTGATTAAATTGTATTTTATCTATATATTAGGAATATTATCAAGGGAAAAAAATTCAAAATTCAAAATTTGGAATTCAATTTTAAGGAAATAATGCATTAAATTTAGATTTTCAATGTGTTTTCCTTATTTACCTAAAAGGGTAAAATCGACACAACAAAAAAGTAATAAATATCAAAGGACCTATATCTAAAATCAAAAACACGAGGACTAGACCCAATGACAGCTAATCGTTTTGGACCTAGATCTAAGAACCCCAAAAAAAAATTACATTTCGATATTTAATGATAGGTTTTCAAGTTCTCTTTTAAGAATTATCCCGATTGGTTCAATTGCAAAATTGTTAAGTTATTTGAGTATTCGATTATTATTTTAGTTTTATCTAACGAAATGTATTTTTGTTTTTATACATTTGAGGAGATGATCAAATAGTTTTCTATTTGAATGATTTTTTTCAAAATATAACCCCGTGTAAATATTAAAAATAGACGAATTCGATCGTTGAGTTATATTTTGAAGTAGCCTTTGAAGATACATGCATTTGGTTTGAAATAAACATGCGTTCAAAGCGCCATAATTAATACCAACTGTTGGCGGCGCAAATCTCACGGCCTGGTGCTCCGGGCCGAGGGGCTATGCGTTAACACGTGACGTCCTTCTTTTGGATGCGGTGCGGTTGTGCGCGGGCGTGCCAGCACGGTCTACCGTGCGTCGAGATGGTGATGTGGTTCGGATAGAATGGTTTAAGTGGTGCGCCTGTTTTGAGTCTGACTTCTAATCAAATGATTGTGGCTGAGAGAGGAACTGATCTCGGCCGTCAGGTTCAAGGCCTGAGCTACAGGGCCGTTTAGTGGTGGTGTTGATGGTGGGTTTTGGGCGGTGCTCCTGCGCGTTGCTCAGAGAGCTACGGTCGTATGATATATGGGGTGAATGAGAGAGTAACAGAGATGGTGCTCCGGCGC